AAGACTCCCTACTGGCAGCTGTGGGGTTGCAGTGGCCAACTGAGAGCTTCAGGTCACTAGCTGTCTTTAGAAAAGTTACAGCTGGCCACAAGAGGAAAGCTTGATGTGGAGGTTGTTATTTTTTTATCCTAAGGAAAAGAAACATTACTTATACAGGTGTAAATAAACATATTTTTACTTTTAGGGAAGTTCCCATAAGGTTGGATCTCGAAAGCTGAGCACTTAAGTCTAGTTAGAGAGAAAAAAGTATCACACCTTATATCACATGAAATACGTCAATACATAGGATGGATACAGACAGGTGAACAAGGATCAACATGCACAGGGAAGACGAGCAGAGGACGTACCGATATTCCCTAAAGTACTCAGTGAAATGTTAGACAAAGAGGTAGAGAAGCGGAACAGGCAAGGGTCACATGACAGCTGAGAGAAGAGAGAGAATGAATTAAAACAGTGCTGGGATGACAGTATATGTACACAGAAAGCATGAATATAATCAGACATACAATGATAAGGCATATCTGTGACCATGGAAAAGGGGAAAAGAGATGGTGCATAGTATGATGTGTACAGTATGTGCTGGATGACTCTGATTTATTTAATAAAGTAGTCCGGTACCAACAGAAGCCAATTAGAAAAAAAATCTCAATTGATGTGATCACAGGATATTATGGGCTACTGCACTTTACATCTCTCATAGCTCTTTGCACTGTATGACCAAAAAGGGTCACAGATCTTAATTTATCTCTATTTAAAACTTTTTTTTTTAGATTTGATAGCGTAGGGGAGGGTTAGGCCCTCTGTCAGACCATTTGGGACCTTCATCCCTTTATTTGTACTATTGTCACCATAAAAGAAAGTACAGAAAAATCCAGCATTTTAGAGTTGTCCCTTGAACAAGGAGAAATCTTCCAATGGGAACACCTGTTCTAGGGACAACTAAGAGGGGATTTCTCATCATTTTAGAAGATTTCCTTCGACTTCCAGTTGGGTCTCTGGGACAGGAAGCAAACAGAAATGTCCCCAATCGTACACAGACAGTAAAAATAATTGGAAAGGGTTTTAACCATTGCCTACTCTATCTGAAACAAACAATACGTTTTCGCAACACGTACAATAGGCTTTAAAGGTATATTCTACCCAGATTCAAATGTAACACAGAAAATGAATAAGGGGCAATGCCTACATGCCCATGAGTTTGCTTAAGTATAAAGGTCACCACTTTGTGTAAGCTGCAGGCATCATCCCGGTATAGTTTTTTTCAGTTGGTGACCAAGCCATCCGAGTAGTTAATTAGCCAATGCCTCTCCAGGATCCCTATCCCACCAGAGATCCCAGAACTGAAGCTCTGTGGTATAGGAAACCAGAAGCGATGAATACTGTTGTCGCTTCTGGTTTCCTGGGAAGTACACACCTTATATCACATGAACTACATCAATACGCCTACATGCCCATGAGTTTGCTTAAGTATAAAGGTCACCACTTTGTGTAAGCTGCAGGCATCATCCTGGTATAGTTTTTTTCAGTTGGTGACCAAGCCATCCGAGCAGTTAATTATCCAATGCCTCTCCGGGATCTCTATCCCACCAGAGATCCTGGAACTGAAGCTCTGTGGTATAGGAAACCAGAAGCGACGAATACTGTTGTCGCTTCCGGTTTCCTGGGAAGTATCACACCTTATATCACATGAAATACGTCAATACATAGGATGGATACAGACAGGTGAACAAGGATCAACATGCACAGGGAAGATGAGCAAATGACGTGCTGATATTCCCTAAAGTACTCATGAAGTACACAGTGATATTTTTAAATCTTGAAAGCATTTCATTACACCAATCTCAGTGTGATCAGATGCTCTTAGGGCAGAGGAGAGGTGTGGGGTCTGATAGTCTAGTACTTGCCACTGCCTATTGCTGTCACAAGTGTAGCACTACCCCCTTAGGAGTCACTGAGTTTTTTGAGGTTCCCATATAGTCCTGCACAGCTAAGCAAAACGCATTTTCTTCCACACTTGCACACTAGAGACAGTAAACAGCCCTTGAGCTTGTTTTTGTGATTTTATTAAGGGATTGATAACTTGGATGGGGTTGATGGGGTTGGGGTTTCCTCCATCCCTCCCTCTCAGATTTCTGGAGAGGTGGGAAGGTTCTAGAAGCTCTGACCCTCAGAACCTCCTTAGCCTGTACTGAGGTAACCTCACCCCCAAGCAGACTCATCCCAGTCTGTTATCCAGCCTCTAACAAAAAAAACAAAAAACCTAGCTATCTCCCCCTGGCTAACTAGAGGGGCACTACACAAGTGATGTTTACATTTCTTGTGACAGCAATAAAAGTGATTGAAAAAAAGAAACACTGTAAAAAAAAAATAATAACAGTAAAAAAAACATATGAGGTAGTGCCACGATTGTCAGAGCGAGAGCAATAATTTTAGCGCCAGACCTCCCCTGTAACTCTAAACTGGTAACATGTAAAGGCTTATAAAGCATCGCCTATGGAGATTTTTAAATACCGTAGTTTGGCGCCATGCCACAAGCATGTGCAATTTTAAAGTGAGACATGTTTGATGTCTACTTACTCTGTGTAACATCATATTATTTTATATTTTTCAAAAAAACAAATTGTGAATTACAGTATATTGTGTTTGTATGCATTAAAATTCCTGAAAGTGTATTTATTCCCAAAAAATTGCATTCAGAAAACTGCTGCGCAAATACTGTGTGACATAAAAAATTGAAAAACCCACCATTTTATTCTCTAGGCCCCTTGTAAGCGTATCCAGCGCTCAAATGATGATGGAATGTAATCTAAATAATGGACTAAATAGACAGGTCCACATGAAAATACATAATATAACCAATGTCACTAGTTATGTAACCAGACCTGTCAGCATAGAAAGAAATGTATGTATTCAGTGATCGGTCCATCTGGAATGTAGATGAATGAAAAGATGTATGGACGGTGGGGAAGCTATGGCACAGTCACTGGCAGCTCCTTGCCAAGCATGTGGGGAATCCCTCAGGAGAAATGCAAAAGGAACACAGCAGGGCACCAGGTCAGGGTGAGTACAAACATGGAACTTTCTTTAAAGTGCACTTACATGTAAAACACCCGTGGTCAGATTCCAAGGTCAGTGCAGCATGTAGCGATAGCTCTCTCCAGTGTGGTGAAACTGACAATCGCTGCATGGCATGGAAAGAGACCTGCTGCAAGGTGGAAGTCCGTGTTGTCTCTCCGTGCGCTCCTGCCAACTGGCCAGGGTTCCTGACAGGTGCCGTGAGTGACAGGTGGGCAGGCAACTGTCAGGAACCTCTGCATGCTGCACTAACCTTACTGCACTTTAAATAAAGTTCCTTGTTTGTACTCACGCTGACCTGGAGCTGTCATGCTCCTTTTGCATATTCTCTAGGCCCTCTACTAAAAAATATATATAATGTTTGAGAGTTCTATGTAATTTTCTAGCAAAAAATGCTGATTTTGAAATGTAAACAAAAAGTGTCAAAAAAGGTTGGGTCTTTAAGTGGCTATATTAAAAGCACATTGAATGCACTGAGGGATTATAATACATTTACATGACTCCAACTGAGGAACACTAAATGGACTTCTTAAAAGATAACTTCACCTTTTGGACAAAAAATAATAAATGCACATTTTTTTTGCAGGTAAAAAAATGTGTATTTATTATTTTTGTCTACAGGAGCCTGGAAAGCATTGCACCAGCGATCAGTAAATCACTGATGCCATGCAGGTCTCCTGCAGACCTGTCAGGATATCTGTTTACCATACGGATGTACCAGCAAGCAGAGATTCTCACAAGAAGCTTCAATGAACTACCACGGCGCTCCACAGCTAAGGCTGCCCGGACTTGTAGGCACTCATTCACACACATCTGTGAATGAGTGACGTGGCCGTGTGGGAGGAGCCCCCCCACGGCCACGCTGTTTTCAAATATGACAGTACGGGGAAACTTCTCCTCAAACTATCTGTCAGAAGGAGGGGGAGCACTGCGGCTATCTGAACATGTTACATGTTCCACCTTAAAATCGGGTGGAACATGTAACATGTTCCAACGGTGAACTTATCCTTTAACTTTAGCAAAGTTGCAATGCATTGCTCTATGCTGTATAAACTGTCCACTGACTGATTGCACTTGCTGCTGGAGCTGTCCTTTTAAGTACCCATAAAATAGAAGATATAGCTACTTTTTTTATAGCGCATTTTTTAAAGTGACTGTAAAATATACTCTATTTATATATTTTTTTTTTTTTATTTTTTGTAAATAAAACATGCTATACTTAGCCACAAACCTCCTGTTATGGGGGCACTTGCGCAAGACTTGATCCCTAATTGGGCTGTGTGTGTCTATTCAGACACACTGCGCGATTCTGCCCTGCTCACAGGATTGGACTGACAGTAGCAAGAGCTAATGGCTTGGTAAAGTGCAAAGAGAGGAGAGAGCTGTTACAGATGGACACAGCAATGGATCGAGTGAGGACTCAGGTAAGTATAAGCGGGTGTGAGGGGGCGATACTGCTAGTTGGATATTTTTTTTTACCTTAATTTAGGGAATACCTTAAGGTAAAAAATGTTATGACATTAGAACCACTTTTACAGGTACATGAAAGTCATCTACAGAACAATGCAGAGAACTGTATAATGTGAAATGAAGTAAGGATAATGTAGACAGGCACTGAAGCTTAGCTTTTTTAACCTGTTATTATATAGGATGATGATAATTATGACTCGGGGAAGAATGGCACACAATGGATATACAGACACAATGGATATAGAGACATAGCTATAATAATGATAGTTAAAACTCCAATTCATATTTATCTTACAATCACTAAGAAACTGTAATATGCGTTTCTCACAGCTCCCACCAAAACACCTAAAACATTGAACACATGAAAACTGGAAGCACTTTCTGTATCCTTCGTCTTCTATGACACCACACACCTAGTCAGTGCTATATGACTGTAAATATCAGGGTCACATTCATTATCTCACCGGCTCATTCATGACTTCAGAGAGTTCGGCCAGAATGTCCTTGTAATGAGCTTTCATCTCTTCTTGGTACTCTAGTTGATCCTCTTTTATCAGCCGTTCATTCACTTCCAGAGCTAGACCACAGGTGTCTGCGAATTGTCTGCAAAAAGACACAGCATAATGAGTACAGGTGCCAAAAATGGAAGCGTTACTACAGTCATCATACAGGGTAGTTGTACAAAATACAGTGTGAATGCAAAGTGTAGTAATTAACAATGACCAAGACGATTCCAGATTTCTGCAGTCAGCTTGGTTAAAGTGACACTAAATGATATTCTTAAAAAATAATCCATACAAATCCAACACTTAATGGCTCTCTAATCTATTTTTCATGAAACTGTTTCTTACTGTGCTTACTGCCCCTTTGTAATGTCTTCTGTAAACTCTCAATCCTCTCCTTTTCCCTCTCACTTCTGTTTGCTTGGTGTGAGCAGTGCATGTTAGCTGACACAAGGTACACAGCTCTATACACTCTATAAATCTCATAGTCCATAGTTCATCTCTGCAGTGAGCACAAGATGGTGGCTGCGTTCCGACATACAGTAGTCTGAATGTAGCCACCCTTTAACAAGACATTTGATAACAGAAGCAACAAAAAAGAAATTTGTAGATTGGAGGAAGTGGAGAGCAATAGAAGGGATATTTGAGTTAAAGTGGAGTTCCACTCAAAGTGAAAGCTCTGCTTGTTTGCCTCCTCTCCCCCTCCACTGCCATATTTGGCACCTTTTGGGGGGGAGGGGGGACCAGATACCTGTTTTTTTGACATGTATCCGTTCCCACTTCCAGCTCAGTTCGCAGTAACAAAGTGAGCCAGACGTTCGGCCACCTCCTCCCTCCCGAAGTCTCCTAGGAACCTTCACAGGTCCCAGAAGACTGCCGGACCAATCAGAATTTGCAGTGCGACTCGTGCATGCACAGTGTGTACCCAGCTGTAAAGCCGCAAGCTGACACGGCCTGGTGCCCACAGTTGTGATGCCAGCGCTGGGGAGAGAAGAAAGAGAATGGACGGCACGGGTGAGAACATCGCTGGACGCTGGGACGGGCGAGTGTGTGTTTATTAAAAGTCAGCAGCTACAGTTTATAAACTCAAAACTGACTGGAACTCCACTTTAAGAATGCATGCTTGAAAAGATTTTGTTTTAAAACTGGAGTTTAGTGTCACTTTAAAGCAAAAAGTTAAATACACCCTTTTTTCACCCACTTGCCCACTGGGCAATAAATCTGATTGTGATGATGATGATATACTGTGCACTGAACAGCCTGGAGCCAGATGGAGCCAGCTGACCCCAGACATAGAGCTGGCTGGCAGAACCATGTGAATTGCAGGACCATCTGAACAGAGTTACATATGACTCTGCCAGTAAAACTATTTAATTAAATGCATTTTTACCCGTGCATTTAGCTGTTTGCCTAAAGTTATTTCAGAGATCAATTTTGATTGCTTTGCACTACTTTACTGCATATGCCTGCCTTAGAAGACATTATAAAATCAAAATGCATTACATACATACATAAAAGTATCCTCACTTTACAGGAAATGGCACATTACATGCTCTACCTACTGAGTGGCCTATTGTGCTATATTAGTTGTCATGAGGGAATTTGTTAATTTCATGGTTGACACACACTTCACATTAGAAAGTGAAGCCAGGATCAGGATGTTCTCAAAGATTCTCTTCCCTTCTCAACGCAAGCAAACAGTAGGGGTGCCATATGAAGTGAGAGGAGGAAACCGCTAGTGGAACTTTCTAAGTGGATCTTCACATGAAAGGTTTAAGGGTGTATATAACTTTAACCTCTTCATGCCCACAGTATGCAAATATGCGACCTCTTGGTGGCTCGGCCTTAACGCTGAGCGGCCGCATATTTGCATACCATTTGTACACAAACATGTGCTGAGAGCGTGCACCCTGCACACTCCAAGCACATGTGTCAGCGTCCCACGGAAAGGTCCCGATCTCTCTTTGCAATTGGGATCATGTCACTGCCGTGACAGTCAATTACGGCAGTCACATGACCCTAAACCCGCTCGCCTCCCAGCATCAGAAACCCCTTAAGGGGTCATGCAGGGGTTAAGTGTGGGTAACTCCATCCACTCTCATAAAAAACAGTATTTTGGTTGGAGTTCCTTGTTCAACTAGTATCTATTGTACAATTAGATAGAAATGGACACTTGTATTCCTTTCTTCATAGAATGGCTATGTAGAATTTGCTCATTTCTTCTATAGCAAGGCTGAGTGAATCACAAGATTGCATGCAATTGTCCATGTTTGTAGGTACAGCACTTTCCATATACTCATGTGTTTGGAATGAATGTTCAATCACTTATATATGGTGTTATTTTTATTTGACAGGATAATTTTAATAAAAAATGTCAAGTGTATTATTATTATTGGTATTGCATGAAGTGAATAATTGCATAATTAAGTCATTTGGGTTTATATTACTATATTCAATCTCCATATATATGTACTGTATATTTTATCTATATTAATTAGTTTTTACCAATTAATACATATTGGTATAGATTGTGGATATTATGTTGTTAACATTATAAATAATTAGTTTGAGTCCATCATATTACATCTGTATTTTACAGAAGAATTTAGATCATTAAGAAATCTCAGTACAAGTAACCTCAACGAATGTCTGTAAGATGTATAGGTAGAATTTTTTTTTCTCAAGAATCACTTAGGTTATACATTATTTTCAGTGACACTGGTCCCAGTTTGTCTAACCAGTTCTGTCAAAAGAGCAGTTATCTCTTAGGTTATTGTATTCTTACTAGCTTAAGGTTAAAGGTCAACTCTTAACAAACAAAGGAGGTGTTAGTAAAAATCAAAAATTATTCCTAATCCTATGCTGCCCTCTTCAGGTAATTGGGAAAGAAAATGACACCTAGTGTGAGGTCATAATTAGGTGAGATAAGCTCTGCCTGTCTAGGTTTTTTGGGTGATAAAAGCTAGAGGACAATCAGAGACAGAACACAAAACAGGAGAAAAGAAAACAGACGAACACAGACACACACAGAAGTGAGCTGATTTAAAGCTAACATCAATGATGCCATAGAATCTACTGTATAGTGGTAATGTATAACTCTCATTGTTCTGTGGACAGTTTGTAATCGCCTTATATCTCCAGTGAAACCGTTTAGTCTGATATTGTTTATGGTTAATACAAGAGTTGATGTAAAATAGTTTTAACTGCAGTATAAATATTTTTCATTTCAATTCTCTGGGGGGAGAATTCTCTTTTAAATATCCCTGAAGCTAATTTCAGCTTCTAGTCAATGGTTTACCTGGGTATATATGACAAAGCAGACAACTTAGTGGAACATTTGTTCTTTACCTCAGATAGATTCTCAGCTTAATGGATTGACCTGTGTATGTGTTCTGAATCAATTCATGCAAAGGTACATGTTGAGCTTTGAATATCTGGTTGTAGAGAGATCACGTGGCTGATGTTGCTGAGTTACTGATAGTTTCTTATGCTGCATTTCTAGACAATTGATTCTAATTCATTAATACTTGAAATTAATTGCTGGTTTGAATTTCTAACCATTATTTCTGATTAGATCATTGTACTGCTATTTTGAATTGTTTATTATTTATCATCACCTATTATATCTCATTGCCATTTTGCATTGATTTTATAATTAATATATATATACTTTTGTACATTATTGCTTTTTATTTTGTCTTCAAATTAGCACAAATAATAAACTCAGATTATCAGTTGATTTATGAAAAATTAGTAGGGAATCTCCTTAATTCCAGATCCCCACCTGTTTTCATAAATTATATACTGATTGTTTTCTCAGAGCTAAAGTTCTGACAATTTTCTTCCAGCAGAGGTCCGAACCGCATGTTATTTCAGCCCTCTCCTTCTACATCGCAATCCCTTTCATCAGTGTCCTCAGTCCCCCCCCACATATCAGTTTCCCCTTCACAGTAGTGTTTGCAGGCCCTTTGCACATCACTCCTACCCCCCCTTTACAAAAGTGTACTGAATCCCCCTTTTTCACAGCAGTCCTCAACCTCCCTTCAAATCATCACCCCCACCTAGAGATGGGAAAGCCTGGAAAAATTGGGAAAAAAAAACATTTTCTTTCTGATTTTTTCCAAAAGCCGTTTTTTTTTCTGGAAAAAATGAAAAAACAAAAGGAATGTAGAATATATTATTTTTCATTGTAAAAGAACATATCTATGACATGGTATTCAAACTACACAAAGTCTCAAATCTTTCATTAAGTTCTTCAGGTTCTATAAAGTCTTAAATAATTGCCGGTTCTCTCAGCCAAACACAAGCAAATCCTGGAATACAATTCAAGTAACATTTTACATTTCAGTGCAGTTCTCAAGCAAGAGAAATATGCATTTATGTTACTAGGGGCACTGCAGGGGAAAGGCTCCAGTATAGTTTACTTGCGGGCTCCATCTTGTACCTCCCCCAGTTGGGTGATTGTTGGGAAACAGTAGTTGATCATTTCTGTCCTCCTCTCAGGCCTTAATTGAGAGGTAAGAGGGTAAATTTGTCTGACACATTAGTTTATCTTTGGAGGACATTGACGGCGCCTGGCGGGTGCTGTGCTGTTTCAAGGACGCTTTATGGTGCGCCAGAAAGCGCCTCACCCTCCAGCGGGAGAGGATGTCCATTGAGGACTGCCGCAGACTGATCCTCAGTCTGCTCAGAGACTATTCCTTGTTGGACTTTAAGGAGGAAGAGGACGTCTGAAGATTTCCCCCTTCCCCCTACTCCCCCTTGCGTGTCTTTGTCCCTTCAATAAAGCTTCGGGCCTGTGTTTCCCCCTTCCCTCCCCTTCCCCCCCCACACACCCGATGCCTATTGTTGATAGTGTTTTTTTTTTTCTCAGTTACCGTTTTCGTGCATGACATAGTAACTAGGAAATGTATATCGTATTAGGATGCTACAGTTTTTGGGGTAAGCGGCGTCATGCATGACGTGGTGGTCCGGGGGATTCATCCTCCGTGCACATCACGTCAGGCATCATACCGCTGAGCGAATGTATTTATTGGCCTGAATGTATTTATCGTATGTTTGGAACTGTATTGCTATGTGGTGCGCTGCGTCGCAGTACAGGGTGAGATGTACCCCGATTACACGTAACATGTTGTTTTTGATGCTTCTGCAATAAAAGTATCTTTTCAATCAAAAATTAGTTTATCTTTACAACCTTTAATTGACTCCCATTAATGTCACACAGACATAACAACATAATGTTTCCCTATAGTCTGGTCAGTAAATTGTTTTTTTTTTTCCTCCTCTCAGTAAAACGGTGGAGTTTCCACAGTGCAATTTCTGCTGAAAGCAAAGCTGCAATTTGCAAATATTGCGCATGCCAGACGTGCCCTAAAGACATTAAAAAAAATTATGGAATTAAATGATGAGGACCAAAATGAAAGTGCAAGTAGCTTTTCCTTCCAGAGCTCCCATTCCTGAAACACTTTTCCTACTGCTTTTGTATCATCACATGTTTTAAAAAGCAAGTTCAGTTTATTTACTGAATAAGCAGTGCAGTACTTTTATTATTACTTTTATAAGTACAATAGTTTTATATACACTGAGTTTCACATTCCCAGACTTTCAGTTTGTTAATGTTTTTTAAACACATTTTAGGACTGCATCTTTTGTTCTCAGTCCTCATTTTTTGTATTTGTTTTTTGGCATTTATAGTATATATTGTTGTTCAGATTCAATACTGTATCTATTTGCTCAGGTGTTTATATACATTCTTGTAATACTTTATCCTTGTTTTTTTGTCACATTGTGTACAAACTTTGTAAAACAGAAGGTGTCTCATTGCATCAGCTGTCTCTAAAAAAACAGGATTATTCCTGATTGCAAGACGGCAGGCAAAGCCATACAAATAATTGCTTTATTCCCCACTGACCACATACATTTCCAGAACCGCTGGTGCATAGTGCAAACTCCATACAGTGGGGAAAATAATTATTTGATCACCCGCAGATTTTGTAAGTTTGCCCACTTACAAAGAATTGTAAAGAATTTATCATAGGTGTATTTTAAATGATAGAGACAGAATATCAACCAAAAATCCAGAAAAAACATGATACAAATGTTATAAATTGAGTTGCAGTTCAGTGAGTAAAAAAAAGTATTTCATCCCCAAGAAAAACATGACTTAGTACTTTGTGGAGAAACCCTTGTTGGCAAGCACAGAGGTAAGATGTTTCTTGTAGTTGGTTATCAGATTTGCACACATCTCAGGAGGAATGTTGGTCTACTATTATTTACAGATCTCTAAATCCTTAAAGTGTTATTAAACCCACAACATAATACACTCACTGTGGAACCTAAAGGGTTAATCCTCTGCATTGTGTAAAAATGCTGTTTGATCCTGACTGCTCTGATCCACCCCTTTTTATAGTGCTCCCCTCTTATCTCCTGATAAGACATATTGTGTGGAGACATCCTGCACATGCTCAGTTTGGTGTGTATTGCTAGAGAGGATTTGTTTTTCTTGGGAGAATGCATGTGATCAGCACAGGGCCAATCAGCACTGTCCAGACAGAGGTCAGGGGTTCTGCATCCTCCTATAGCAGAAAGAAAGGGTATTTAGCAGTTTATATTTACTAAAATAATTGCATTTCCATGTTTTGTGTACTGTGGGAGACCAGATAGAGTGAATTCAGGGTCCTGGGTTTAGTAACACTTAAAGGTTTCTTGGCTGTCACTTGGTAACTTGAAGCTTTGTTAAATTTTCTATAGGATTAAGGTCTAGAAACTGGCTAGGCCACTCCATGACCTTAATGTGCTTCTTCTTGAGCCACTCCTTTGTTGCCTTGGTGGAATGTTTTGAGTCATTGTCATTCTGGAAGACCCATCCAGGACCCATCTTCAGTGTTCTGGCTGAGAGAAGAAGGTTCAAGATTTTACAATACATGGCCCTGTCCATTGGCCCTTCAATGCAGCAAAGTTGACATGTATCTTTAGCAGAGAAAAAAACCCCAAAGCATAAAGTTTCCACCTCCGTGCTTGACTGTAGGGATGGTGTTCTTAGGGTAAATGCCAGCATTTTGCTTCCTCCAAACACGGAGATTTAAGTTACTGCCAAAGAGCTCAATTTTGGTCTCAATCATTTCTGAATTATTTAGATGTTCATTGGCAAACTACAGACCGGCCTGTACATGTGCCTTCTTTAGGAGGGGGACCTTGCGGGCGCTGCAGGATTTCAATCCATGGTGGCAATATTGTGTTACCAATGGTTTGTTTGGTGACTGTGGTCCCAACTGCCTTGAGATCATTCACAAGCTCCTCCCACTTAGTTCTGGGCTGATCCATCACTTTTCTCATGATCATCCTTACCCCATGAGGTGAGATCTTGCATGGAGCTCCAGACCGAGGGTGATTGATGGTTATTTTGTATTTCTTCCATTTGTGAATAATCACGCCAACAGTTTTCTCCTTCTCATCAAGCTTCTTGCTGATGGTCTTGTAGCCCATTCCAGCCTTGTGCAGGTCTACAGTCTTGACCCTGACTTCCTTTGACAGCTCTTTGCCCATGATGGTGAGGTTTGAATGGAAGAAAGAGATTCTGTGGACAGGTGTCTGTTATCCACATAACGAGTTGTCGTTAGGAGCACCTTCTTAAATTTTCAGGACTAATCTGTGTACCAAATGAGTACATAGCCAGTCTGTGGGAGCCAGAATTATTGTTGGCTGGTAGGGAATCAAATATTTATTTTACTCACTGAACTGCAACTCAATTTATATTTGTATCATGTGTTATCATGTGTTTTTTCTGGATTTGTGGTTGATATCCTGTCTCTATCATTTAAAATACACCTATGATAAAAATTATAGGCCCTTCATTTCTTTGTAAGTGGGAAAACTTACAAAATCTGCAGGGGATCAACTAATTAATTTACCCACTGTACATCTGTTTCAGGTTATTTGGCCATCATCAGTGCATTGTATAGGAATCATGACTCCTATGGAGCAGGGCTTGGGGCCCATTGAGATCGATATGGTGAAAAGAGCAATGATTCTATGTGCTGCTTATAATCCTTGGGTTTTTGAAAATGCTAACAACCAGCCAGATATTACTTATCATTTTACAACCCTCACCTGAGGCATGAAAGGGATGATATGACTGGCTGGAATGGAGAGTTCTTTCAGGCATTTACAATAAAGAGACTGTAGGCCATACATATCACCTTTTCCCAGTGGTGTTGTATTTTTAAAGAAAGTCACCTGAAAATTTCTTTAAGATGCTTCACTTGGCTTTCTGGGTAATTGTTGGCATTTGTTTCTGTTAGAAAGGCTCGAGCATATGCCATAGGTCCAGCGTTTACCTGAAATAAAGTGAACCATATCTCATCATTTGTTATTATAGAAGAAAAGTCACTGCTTTGAATTGCAAAACAGATTTTTACACATTTATCACTTTTAATTTCATCCAGTAAGAGAAGAAATGCCATCTGTTTGAATACAATCTTTTTAATATATCTACAGGCCTACTCTATTTTAGAATAGTAGCCACGTTTATGATGTGCGGTTAATGTGTTTATTTCACATCTAGAGGGAAATAAGCAAACAAATACCACATTTCAGTATACTAGTTAGAATACAGTTTGGTGCTTAATGATAGCTGGAATTAACCTTCTAGGAAAATACCAAACTTTTCAAATTACTTCAAGCAGTGATACCTTGTGAATGTCAGCATTCACATGAATGGTTATTTCTTTTGCCCACATTAGCTCTGCATTTATATCATTTTAAAAATACTATTATGCAAACTTTAAAGTATATTGTATAGTTTTAGAAGTCATCGTATGTAAATCTGCAGCTTACATTCAAATAATACTGTACTTGGTAATCCTGCCATTAGGGTCCTTGTTCAGGCTGTGTTTCACCCAGTATAGAGAGACACATTAAATTCTGACAAGAGATTCAGTGTTGTTCTTAGGTCATTTACTTGCTGAAATTTGCTTGCTATGGGATACTGCATATAATTGCATTATGACAGAAACCAGTCATACCATTTTACATGGTTTTCAGATTTTTTTTTTAATTGTACTGAATCCATCTACGGGTATGTAAAATGTGTTCACTAAATGTACTGTAACAAACTGCAGTAAAGCAAAACAGAAAATATTTGGTCCCGTTCCCTTGGTAAGTTGATAACCATGTATGGCTTTGAATACCATCTCTATGCTGACAGCACCCAAACCTATCCTTCTACTTCTCAGCCCACCCCTTTAGTCTCCTTGATCATTTCTAAATTACTAACTGAAATATCAGTTATGATGTCAAACAATTTTTAAAGCTCAATCTTTCAAACACTCATAATTTTTATCCAAGCCCCATCCCCATCACCATTTCCATCCTAGGTGTAATCCTGAATTCTGGCCTCTCCTTTCAGCCCCACATCCAATCACTGTCCAGATATTGCTGCCTTCACCTTTGTAACATTTTCAAAATACATACAACCCTTCTAAACCAATGATGCCACCAAGCTAATAATAAGCACACCAGCTTAGTTTAACACTTTTAGGGTATATAGGAAAAAATAATAATAATAAATGGATAGTTAACAACAAGAACACAAACAATGTTATGTGTAGATACTTTAAACTCTTCTGCAAGCATAGTTTATGCAATGTGCAATCTTCTGTTTCGGCTGCATGCGCTCTGGGATTAGATGTCACAGAGGTAGCCACATTTATATGCATGAACAGGGATTTGGAGGTCAGTAATATCTTTTCCTGAGCCAAACTGACCTGCCAAGTAGTCGCAGCACATTCCCTTACTTGACACTCAGGCTGTCCCTATAATCACCATTTCCCCTGTGAACAGAAGGCTGCTGATCTTACCTTGACACTGACACTCCCCTGAAGCTTCAGCTGCAGTCTTATCATATCCACATCATCCATAGTGCAGAGCTGGTGCAACTCCTGAACTTTTTTGGACATTTCATCTATAGCCACTTCAATAGGATTAAGTTCTGTGCTTGTTTGGCTTACAACTTGAATACGTTTTTTCACATATGGAAACGAGTGACTGGCTGTGTGGAAATAAGAGAAAGCAATGGGATAAAGTTAGCCTAAAATTAAGGATGATTCCCTTTAGGAAATATTATATTGTAGTGGCTGTACAAACATCTTAGGGCTTATTCACACCAGTTCAGTTGAGCTGCCTTGATCTGCACAGAAAACAACTGCTGTCTCTTTGTCTTATTAACACCTCACGCTGTGTTGAGGTGGGCTGCACAGAGTTTTTTTGGTAAGCAAATAAAGCTGAAGTTCGGCTTTAATCTTTCATTTAAAGGAAATTTGATTGACTGGTATGTACTCAATGGGACTAATTTACTACTTTACTTTCCAAGAGAATTTACCTTGAGCTTAGTGAATGTGGTGAAAATTCACTTTGCAAAGAATAATCAATCAAATGCAAAATAGTGAATTGGTGACTTCCATTATCCAATCATATGAAAGCGAAAATATATATATATTTTTTTTCCTTAGCTATGGAAAAAAAAGCCTTCAAAAACTGTGCAGCCTATTAACCCTTGGCAAATCAACCCCGATAAGTTCAATAACAAGGTCTCTCCAATAACATTCTTGGCTGTGCCACATCTAACAGAGAAAGTAAACCCTCCTTTTATTAAGTGGGAGAAACTAGGAAAAAATTAATAGTATTCTCACTGTTGGAGTCCCTGAGATATGTTAGAATCCACTTACTGCTCCAACTCGCCAACATCTGATTCATGTTGAAGTATTTATTTTGCTGGACTGACTCTTTAAATCAATTTGTTTATTTTAGCTTGTGAGTGTAACATGTCAAGTTATTTTTGGCAAGAAAAGTAGTCATACATATTTAGGAAGAAATAATTGCAAAATAGACATAATGAGGGTTTGGGAGGACTTTGACTTTACATTTAGATTCTGTGAAAAAAAGAAAAAATGTCATGAATATATTAGTTACTTACTGGTCAGTACTGTGCGCCTCTTGCATTGCTCCTCCACTCCGCCATGTTTCTTCCCTGATAGAGTGAATGGAGTCTCAAACACAAACCGGCTGATATTATGATGCCTCTCAAAATCTGTCTTTCTGTCTTCCAGCTCTTTCTCATCAAAGTAAGGTGTGACATATGTGACTTGAAAGTAAGCAAACTTAGGATCTAGATCTTTGGGATTCACCTATGGGAAAAAATTAAGTATAATCATTTCCAACATATACAGTCATGGTCAAAAAAATTTGGCACCCCCTGCATTTCTGTCAGATAATGCACCACTTCACCCAGAAAATTGTTGCAATTACAAATGTTTAGGCATTCTCATGTTTATTTCTTTTGTTTGTATTGGTAAGACACAAAAAAGTGGAGAAACAAAAATGCCAAATCTGACACATTTCATGCAAAACCCCACAAAATTATTGTCACCCTCGATTTAATATTTGGTAGCACACCCCTTGGAAAAAAATAACTAAAATAAATTGCTTCCTGTAACCATCAATGAGTTTCTTACACCCCTCTACTGGAATTTTAGACCACTTTCGCCAACTGCTCCAGGTCTCTCAGATTGGAAGGGTTCCTTTTCCCAAATGCTGTTTCGAGATCTCCCCACAGGTGCAGTATGGGATTGAGATCTGGACCCACTGCTGGCCAGTTCAGTACTCTTCAGCTCTTTGTCTGAAACCATTGCTGAGTGCTTTTTGATAACTTTTTGTATACTTACCTTTTTTCCATATGTCTTTAGGCTTGTCACATGATGCATGTATCTATGTTCTTTTAGCCTCCTATTTAGCACTTAGTCAGTAATGATAAAAAAAAAACATATTGCTGATGTAATGCATCAGCATCATTACAAGCAACAATGTCTGTAAGTGCAGGGAGCCAGGATGAAGCACCCCCAGGGGTGGGTCCATGACACACTAGGCTCAAAGGAAGTGGATGAATGATTTTAGGAGTAAATAATCTTATCCATGTGTTAATACTCTTATCAATTTACGGTAATGTTAAAAATCTTGTTCCTCTGCAGACTTGTTAATTATATACACAGGGGAAGCCATATTTGCTTATTTAAATATTCAGGTTCTACTTCCTGCTTTAAAGTGATACACATGGATTATGCTTTACTGCTTTTGTAAGTCCACTTGGCTGATTTACTAATTCACTTTAATTATCAAAATATGTAAAAAAAAATTTTAAGTTTGTCTATCTCATCTGCACAATAAGAAAATTGAAAAATTGAAAACTTCAGTTTTTTTTTTTAAATGCACAATCTCAACTCTAGCAAATTAGCCTTGATTACCCCCAATTCATTGAAAACAATGCACTCCTTCTTTGGTTGAAACCTTTTCTCAGCAGTTGTTAAAGTGTTATTAAACCTTCCATGTAAAAACACAACATGCTATATAGCAGCAGATACTTACATGTACATTGTTTTTTTGCATGCATTTTATTTAAAGCTTGTCTCTCAGCCTTTAAAAACTGACTTTCATGTGTTTCAAATTTCGGGTGGATATGCTGCCTTGCAAGGTTTAATGGAGTCCCACCATCACCACCTTTACAAGCAAGCTTCCATCTGGGACTACAGCCCGAGGTGCCAACATTCCACGTGCCAAAAGAAATGCATCTCTGAACCCAAAACTGAAAGCCAATTCCCTGCTCCATCTTCTCTGGATTTGATTGAGAATGACTTCTGAGACAGTGCTTCTTAACAATACAGGTGATCATGTGACAATGCTTTGACATGTTCAGCGCATGCTCCCTGGCAGTTTAGAGATGTGTTGCTGGGAGACACAGAACAAATGGATTTTACATCATCTAAAGCTTCCATATGGGTCCTGAATAAATTGCTGCAAACACAGATGAAGGTTTAATACTACTTTAGATGACAGACACAATAATTGCACTTATGCACTTATTCCCTCTAGTGGCTGATGTACAATAGCAAAAAAGGACAAGAGGCAAGGAGGCAAGACAAGGAGCACACAAACCTTGTTGGAATCCTGAATGATTTTTACATTGTCTGCTCCAAACTTATCAGTATAGAGCTTGAGCAACCTTTGCGATATCTCTGACAACCCTGTTAATTTGGGTTCTTTATAAATGTACTCTTTTCCTTCCTCCTCTTCAAAGAAACCCTACAAAAGAGAAGATCGTTATGTAGAAGTATAACTGAGAAATACTCAGGGATTCATTCCCCAAAGCCACACCATGAACTGTTAGTCACTTCAATGAGTTTATCACACACCCTACAGCAAGTACACATGTGCAAGCAAAGCCTTTGATGCATTAGAAATAGAATTATTAATGGATGATGGAAATTTATGTTAAAGCTGAATACAGGGAGAAGCAGTATCACTGAGATTCTCTAATAACAGTAATGATTGCCTAGTATGATCTTTTATATGAAATTAGGAGCACATTTTCTTGGGTATATTTAAGCACTTTGAATATAGTCACCAGTTGTGTTCCTCAAGGTATATTCCATCCAACATGAGCAACAAGCTAGTGATTAGATATGACACTTTTGGCAAACCAAACTATGCTTCTACAAAGTATAAGATGTTCCAGTTCTTAAAATGCTAGAAATAATAAATACAGATATAGAATCAAACATAATCATAGAGATATGCAAGATTCTTTAAAATGCCCATTCTTTTCAAACTGTTTAGAAAAGACCTGAAACGATATAAAAGGCCAGTGGGTGGTACAGTGGGGAAAATAAGTATTTGATCCCCTGCAGATTATGTAAGTTTGCCCACTTACAATGAAATGAATAGTCTATAATTTTATCATAGGTGTATTATAAATGATAGACAGAATATCAACCAAAAATCCAGAAAAAACACATGATACACATGATACAAATGTTATAAACTGAGAAGCAGTTCAGGGAGGAAAAATATTTGATCCCCCACCAAGCAACAATAATTCTGGCTCCCACAGACTGGCTATGTGCTCATTTGGTACACAGATTAGTCCTGTCAATTAAAGAAGGTGCTCCTAACAACTATATGTGTATAAAAGACACCTGTCCACAAAATCTCTTTCTTCCATTCAAACCTCTCCACCATGTGCAAGACCATAGAGCTGTCAAAGGACATCCGAGACAAGGGTTTCTCCACCAAGTACTAAGTCCTCTTTTTCTTGGGGATCAAATACTTATTTTACTCACTGAACCGCAACTCAATTTATAACATTTGTATCATGTGTTTTTCCTGGAATTTTTGTTGATTTTCTGTCTATCATTTAAAATACACCTATGATAAAAATTATAGACTTTTTATTCCTCTGTAAGTGGGCAAACGTACACAAATCTTCAGGTGATCAAATCATTATTTTCCCCACTGTATTTGTCTATTGTGTGTTTAATAGACTGAACTCTTTAAGATACTAGACATTTTGTCCCCTTTAGATTCTTTGACTTTGCTTGGACTGTTCAGAGAGAAAGATTAATCTCCTCAAGTTAAGTGTCCTCCTACTTGTAAATAGTTTTGGAGTATCCCACTCAATTCCCTATCACCCCAAAAAATAAAAAAAATATCCCTGGCCTATTCATTGAGCCACAGAGTGACTGTGACCATGTGTATGACTGTGTGGCAAGTACTGGGAAAAGAACCCTGGGCATCTTTCTAGAGACTCCTACGGGGGTAGCGCTGCATACAGAGGGGAACACCAGAAGAAAATGAGATGAAAGCGTCCAAGACAATTTAATTATTGGTAAAAAAAAAAAAAGTGATATAAAAACAGCCAATGCTTTGGGGGGGGGGGGGGGGGGGCAATTCAGGATAAAAGTTGAGTCTCAGAAAAAAGCAACTTCATAGGTCAATATTAGAACCAGTACTGAACTCTCCAACTTCTTGACACCAGTTGCTGATTAGTTGTCAATTTGTTACTCCATGTGGAGAATTTAAAACTGGTTCTACTATAGATCTGTGAAGTCACTGTTTTCACAATCCAAGTACTGCCCACGTTTTGTTGAGCCCTGATGAAGGGGGAGAGAAATTGCACCAGAAACATGAAAGCTGTTTTATATGACTTTTTAACCAGCAATTAAAATAAAACTAATCGAACTCTTTCACCTGGTTTCGGTCTGGTGCTCCTTTCTGCATTTCAATGGTTTGAGTACTGTTGGGTGCCCAGCAAAGGAAGCCTTGCCTTGCCTCACCGCAACTATTGAGCTTGTTTGAAGTTTTCCTTCCTCTGACCACACACATGGAAGACTAAAAATTCCCAGCGCCTCTTTAATTATGTTGTTCTGGACTCTTTCTCAAGGTGACAAGCATAAAGTATCTTTGTTTGCCACCTTGATACAGAACTGACTGCTGTGTCCTTGAAAAATTGGTGGTTATATTCTTACATCTTTACATAGTTAGTTACATAGTTAGTCTGGCTGAAAAAGACAAAAAGTCCATCTAGCTCAACCATAAAAAACAAAAGTTATAATCCTATGGCCACAGTTGATCCAGAGAAAGGTAAAAAAAAAAAAAAAAAAACAGCAAAGCATTATCCAATTTTCTCCTGCAGGGGAAAAAAATTCCTTCCTGATCTCCAAGAGGCAATGTGTATCTAAGAGATAATCCAGGTCTTTTTTAAAGCAATCTACTGAGTTGGCCAGAACCAACTCTTGAGGGAGTCTGTTCCACATTTTCACAGCTCTTACTGATACTGATATACTTTAGTAGAGTCTAACATCTGGATGTTCCCTTGAAATGCTGCCTTTTTCTGAAATTGAATTTACACGGTACCACCATTTGGCTGTATGCTTACCCTCAAATGGGGCTAACTAAAAGCCTAAGCAGAATGGTTTGATTATTTTTAGGTTTGGAGCCCAGCCTGTGCCACTGCTATATATACACTCCTGTGTATGAGGTTTGGATTTCTGTCACCGTGATATATTTCTCTAGACCAGACATACCAGCTTTGACTATGTTATTTTTATTGCAACACCCTAAATATAATATGGATTCAGCCAAAAGATACTACAAGAGCCTATTTGGCATAAAATCATTATGCCAATTGAATGTATGAATATTTGACAAACAGACTGAACAATAACTAAAATTTAATTCACGTTTTATGACTGATGTTTTGCCCATCATGATTTTAACAACAACAACTTCCAGAGTTTTATCTATTCTGACACTTGTGTTATGGCCAGCAGCCATCTATACATTCATGTTTGCTCCATATTAGCTACACTTCTAGTTATGGACTTTGTTGTATTCTTTTCACTGATGTGTAGTAGAGATTTTGCATTCCTTTTAAAATATAAACAGTCAGATGCCAAAAAATAGAGCACTAGAAAATAAAATGTCTGTCAGAACATTATCAATGCACATTTTGCCTAGAAATTATCCTAAAGCCAGTACAAGTGCTGCTATGTCATTTAATATCCATGATAACCCGCCAATTGGTTTACTGTGTGCATTACAAATGCTTTAAAACAGCTGCAACATAAACAATATAGAGAGGTAAGAGCAGGCTTCTAGATTGGGCAACAGAGACATCTTGTGGCAAAGCAATGTGTGTTCACGTTTGGAGGAAAAAAGATAATGTTAAAGAAAGTCAGCAGCTAAAAATCCTGTAGCTGCTGACTTAAAAAAAAGACACTTAGCTGTCCAGGGACCAGGGGCGGACTCACAACTCATGGGGCCCCTGGGCAATAGGGGATCATGGGGCCCCTGTGTCCTTGCCCAAACTCAAAAAAGCCTATGAAAAGGGTACCAGGGGCATCTCATGGGGCCCCCTACTGACCCCGAGCCCTTGGGCAGTGCCCGAGTTTCCAAATGGTCAGTCCGCCCCTGCCAGGGACCCAGCTCTGTCCTCACCCAGGCCAGTTCTCTGTTGGCCTTCGGATCTCCAGTGCCGCCATGTTTACTGTGGGGAAGCTCTCTGCGTGAGCATTCTGTGAATGGACCTGCAGCCTCCTGGGACCTGTGATCCATCACACGAGGTTGGGGGGGGGTGTAAAGAGGATCAGCCGAACTTCACTTTTAAGGGGCAGTTCCACTTTAGGTAACTGTTATTTTATCGTAATGTGGACAGCTTCCTACCTGCTAAAATGTTACCAAAATACATACCCGTCAGATAGCGAGGAGATAAATGCATAAAGCACATGTTTGGTGAGAACAATGTAGTAATGTATTATCTTGTCAATAAGAGAAGAGGAGGCTCAGGCCCACTGCAGAGATTTTGCAACTAGTTAGAAGATGTCCATTTGCAATAACAAGAAGTTGCAAAAGATCAGAGAACCTAATTATTATTCCTTAGAGTAGCACTATACAATCAGGTCACCAATCACTGCATGTGGAAACAGAATTTTTATGGCCAGAGATTACATTACAGATACTATTAGTAGTCAGTCAGATTCAATTCGACTTGTTCTGTAATGTTGAAGACATTTCATAGTTTATCCAAGCCATAGTTCTCCATTATTATCAGGTACAGACCCAAGATTTATATCTAGGTATAAAGGTATCACAGACCTTTACCAATCACCACAGAAGGGTCAATGTTATTGTCCAAGAACAGGACAGGAAGTGTGAAATTGTGGAACCACCTTGTTCTAGTTACACAATCCCATCCTTGGTATCAGAAAAACATCATAGGTGTTTTTAATTTAATTTTTATATACGACAACAATGTTCTATTTTTACAGTGAGATACACATTTTGGACAGAGAGGACAGCTGGTCCACAAGAGATGTGAAAGAGTCCATCTATGTCAAAGTGGAGCAACCTTCATTGAACAGGGTTGGGAACCTTCAACGAAATCTGTCTTCCACATAAAATGCTGTTTTATTATCTCTACCCCAGTGTTTTGACACCAAATCACACATTTGAAGCCTTCCTCACACCATCAATGGAAATTTGTAACTACTATAACAGGATGATTTCACAATTTTTACACCTCCCATCCTCTTCTGGGACAATAACATCTACCTTTCAGTGGTTATTGGTTAAGGTGTCTGGCTACCTGTGTGGATATAAATGGCTGTGTTTTTTCTAACACCCATCAGAATGGAAGAAGTAGCTTGGGATACACTACAAGACATTTCCGATCTTTGTAGATATTTCTGTACTAGACTACAACCCTCTATAGTAAACTTGTATAAGCAGGGTTCACATATATGTGCTTCAGCA